ACGAGGCAAAGCTCCTAAGTCTCCCAGTCTTATTAGTGTAGATTTGTGAAGTTGGTGTCTATTGGTACAGTCCTGAGAGGGGTTCAGCTGCAGGCTAAATTTAGCCCAAGCCTCTATCCCTCCAGGGCCACCTGTTAAGATTCAACAAGTGATCCACAGATGCTGTGCTTATAGTTACCTCATAAGGCCACACCAGAAATTGAGGCCAGCTGCCTCCACCAGTGTGTGTCTAGGCGCTTCTCATCAAGAAGCACCTGACTCGCCGAGGCTATACCTGGATGTAGCTTGGGCAGGGCTGCAAATTGGGGGTGGTGGGTTTTCAGGGAATCTTCTGGATGGAGCGACCTCTGTTGTCCAGTCTGCTGACCCCACGGCTATGGTGGTGCTGAGTCTGCACACCAGAAGAGGGGAGGGCTCAACAAGGAACAATGGATACCACTGGCACTTCTGTACAGCGTGTGTCTCGCCTAAGCTCTCACTCCAACAGTGTCTTCCTGTAAGTCCCTGCTGCCCTCTGCACGCAGCTGAATCTGCTCTGGTGCGCAGAGTGACCAGGTCCGTCACTGCAAAAATCCGCTCATGGATGCAGCCCTGTTAAGAGGAGTCTGCCACTGCCACTGCCGCAGCCTCGGTCTCACTCAGCTGCTGGAGACGGGGCAGCCCCGAGTCCTCGTCCTGTCCTACTTTCTCCCTAGTTGTGTGGCTTATTCATCTACATCCCAGGCGATTTTTCCTTGCTGCTGCTCCTTATTTCCGTCACAACTTTGATTTGGTTGCCAGAATGATGAATAAAGCCTTTATCATCTATGCCGTATTTTTTCCTCTCTGCCATTTTTAAATATATAGAAAACAAGACTTAATGAAGTCTACAAATGTATTTCTACATAAAAATTCATCAAGTTGTACATTTCATAGTTGTGTAGTTAACTGTATGCAAATTAAACCTAAGTCTAAAAATAGATTGTCTATGTTTTTGTGTATATATGAAAATTCATAGAAACTGGACTAGAATAATACCCACCTCTTTTTTGGCAGTGGTTACCTTGGGGAAAGGAAGATCTCTGCTTTTCCTCTACATACTTCTTTATTGTTTGAATATTCTAAAAAGGAGACTGCATTAATTGGGTATCAAATAAATAAAAATGCAACATGTTTTTAAGTCAATAAAATAACATAAATAAAAAAATCAATTAATAGATAAACAAAATTAACAGACAACAAAGACACTTTGGAAGACAAGCTACTGAGAACCCGTGTGTAGATATACTCATGTGAATATACCACCCTTAGGAAGAATTTCATATGGAATATGTTTTCTCTATTTTTGTTTCTCTGGAAAGAAGTTGACATTAAGTCACTGGTTAACTTCTGTAAGGGGGCTTTCGTACTACCCTAATCACCATCTGGCCTGAGAGCTGAATGGGGTGAGATATGAGCACCATAGCCACACTGAAGATGCACCCCCGCCGCACCTCCCTCCCCCCTCTGTCCCCCCTGCCCCCCAGGGAGCTGGAGCCTGTGGGACACTCAGTACTTGCTTGAAGGAGATGCCTCACTCCTTCTCACTTACAGTGGCATGGGGATGATGCAGCTGCTGGAAATGCATATACAGTATGTGCATACATGGTGTGAATTAAAAAGCAATTGAATAATACGACATTCAGATTAAAATAAATACCATTTCCTACTAAACTGGTAAAGATTTATTAATGGCTTTACACAATATTGGAATGGGGTAAGAGCAATAATGAGAGGTTAACAGAAGCCAAGGAGGTAGAGCTTTGTCAAACACATTAAAGGAGCTTATCCTAAGAACAAGGGCACCAGTAACCAGCCTTAGGCAGTTGGATCACATCTGGCTGCTCCAAGGACACCCAGACTGGAAGTGGGTGGAACAGTTAAGAGGCTAGTGCAGTCAGTCAGACAAAACAGTTTGGTAACCTGAAACAGTGTGATAGCAGTGGGGAAGGAGACAGTGGTGTGAATATTGAAGAGAGAGATCTGATGGGCTTTAATGATTAATGCATATATCCTGAAACAAATGACAGGATAGGGGTGGTACTTGTTTCAGCTAGGGTTCAATCAGTAAAGTCAAAGCCTAGGAATTATTAAATAAAGAATTCATTGTTGAAATTAGACCTTACACAGTTTGTAGGAAGAGCTGGGCAATTGGACTTCTTGGGTGGAGAGTTGGAGGACCAGAGAAGTTCCCACCCAATCAGTCTGAGAAGCCAGGGATGTCTAGCCACTGAAGTAGGACCACGAAGGGGAGGCTGATGGAGAAGTTTAAAGGAAGCATTTGCCTTGGTGGGTCCCAAGGCAAGCATCTGTTAATGGATCTGGGGCTGCTGTTGGTAAGCAGGGCCTGCCTGTAATCTGGAGGAAGAGCTGAATGCAGAGTAGAGCAAGCAAGGACAAGTTGGAACCCATTAGGCACCTCTGGGTCTGTGGGTCATCTCATTGAACCATGATGGCATTCAGACGTAGTATTCCCAAATCCCTTTCTTGGCCAACTCTAACCTGGAACCACATAGGCAAGGGATTATGGGAAATGTAGTTTCCAGCCTAACCAAATTAATGGTGGGAGAAGGTTCTGGAAGAAAGTAGTGAGTTTCATTTTGGACATGTTGACTTTAACTGTGATTGATCCCCATAGAGATGTCCAGTAAGCACTTGAGCTTGTCCAAACTTCATCGTGCAAGCAAGCTACTCTAGTTCTAATCTCCCCTGGGGTGAGAGAGTAGAATGCAACTGTAGATTAAGAACCTATGAACTAAAGATATTGGCCAGGAGTGAAGGCAGCCTCAAGAAACAAAAAGACAGTCCTGAAAAGGTCTATAACTTTCAGGCAGTGACTTGGAACTGCAAGATGGGATGGGCAGGCAGGCTCTATAGGGCAGGTAGGAGAGAGAGTCCTGGAGAGATGGCCTCAAATATCCTGAGATATATGATATATTTGTCAGTGGGAAGGCAACTGGTCTTTATATTAAGGATAGCTACATGGAATCATTATTTTGAAAGTGCCACAACTTATAAGAAAAAAACTTACTTGATAGTCACTCCTCTTATTTTGTTTTTATCCTATTATGCAAGCATAAAACAGTATATTTAATAAATAATCCATTCAGAAATTTCAGACAAGTTTATTACTTAATACAATTTGTGACCTTACTGCTTGAGTCCTTCAGAATCATAAAGTGAGTTCTGACTGAGGTTCCAAGTGATGTATTAAACATTCCACACGGAGAAGTGTACCACCAAGTCAGTGGAACCCCCACCACGGCCATCACCACCACTACCTCTCTGCTACTGCAATTACTATGGCTACCCAAGCTTGAAGAACAGAGGCTGGGGAAAGGTGGTAAAGAGAGGGCAAAGGAAGGTAACAATCTCAAAGGAATGGAAATGAATAGTGCCTTCAGGTAAATTCTCTTCATTTTAATTGGATAACAAATGTAGTCAATGAACAATTATATCTGCAATATTCTTTTTCCTCCATTTAGTAATCAAATGAAACCTCGGCTCCCTTTAGACTATGTACATGGAAGAGTGATATTCCTTTTACAAAAGAGGGCTTCCATTTCTCTCTATATCCTGAATCTGCTATATTTTTCATAGTAATACTTACCTCTATCTGATAGTATGTGTTTACATGTTTCCTTTATTTATAATCTGTCTTTTGAATTGGAATATGAGCTTCATTGCAGTCCATGCCTGTTTTGTTCACTGGTGTGTCCCCAGCAAATATAACAGTTCCTATCAGACACTCAAGTACTTGTTGAATGAATGGATGAATGAATGAACTTAGGAATGATACATTACATTCTAAGAATGGCTCCATATGAGAGAGAGCCATATTATGGCTATCTCTTGTATACTGAAAAACAAAGTTATGATATAATGGATAGAATTGAGGTCAAAACATAGTATTAGAATGCCTTACATATTGTCCCAACAGTTCATTAAACCCCAGAAAAAATATCCTTTACCTGCATATTATAAAATAATAGCAATTTAAAATATTTGCTATATATTTTAGTCAAATGGGCTTATTTCTTATCTTAACCACCATCAGCACTGTTGAATACTTATTATTATGACTGGGGCAATTTTAAGTCCGTATGGGCTCCAGGCATTCTTATTTTTGTAGGCCCCACCCCTCATTACATCTAATACATGAAATATACCCATATCAAATATAATTTGTATATGAGTTAAGTTGAAGTTAACTAGTTTTCAAAATGTCACATTTCTTAAGCACTTAAAGCTATTAGCTTTGATTTTTCAGGTTTAAAAATATACTATATAACCAAAGCATTGCTTTTTCAGGTCTCGAACATTTCCATAGGCCCTTGCAAAAAATCCCATGCTTTAGGAATCGTGCATAAAATGGATAAAAATGTTCTCATGTACAGAGTACTGTTCTAGATGCTTCTGATAGGAAGGAGTATAAGGGTGCCTGCTCTCCAGAAATTTATCATCCAGCTCCACATCTTTTCTTTTTTTTCCTCAGCCCATACCTCTTTCCCATTGTAGTCCTAAAAAGTTCTGTTCTTACTATCAATTATTTTCATTATTCTGCTTGGTTTTGGCATTTCCCATTTTCTTGAGAACCCTTTACTTAGAACAAAAGTATTTTGAGCAAGACAAAATAGAGTACGAAAATAATTATGCTCATATTTGGAATCAGATTCCTAGGTCTCAAGCAGGTACCTCCACATTCCTGGGATAAAATATTGTGCCAATTTCTCTAAGTATTTGTTCTTAGCTGTCCAACTGACTTTGTGGAGATTTTACCTAATTTCATTCATTCATACACAGGTCAATCACTAACTTATAATAGAGTACTTACCATGCGTTTTTTGAGAATTACAGAAAGATGCATCAGAATATTCATTTTTAGGCCTCTATGAAATTATGAAGAGCCAAAGCAAATTGTAAAGATAAGGGCCTCCTTGAAGAGATTTTTACTGCTTCATTCCTGACATGTGAATACCTTTCATCCTGTTTGCAGAGTGTTTTGGAAATCGAGAGATTGGAATGAGAGAAAATCGACATTTGATTCAGGTGAAGAAATTCCACCTCCATGTAGAAAAAAACCTGTAAGAAAGAAGAAGAAGGAGGAGAGACCAAAAAGAGACTCTGAAGACTATCAAGATCAAGTGATTACATGTGATCAAGTGATTACCTTTCCCTGTTCCAAATGTAAGTGTGAAATTGATCTACCTGGAGTTTTTCTCCATAAAAAGCAGCATGCAGCCTTGACCACACTGGGTTTTCAATGGATAGGTGGAAATAAACCAGGACACTCAGTGATTGCTATTCAGAGACAGTTCATAATTACTAAACTATTGTCATCTTTCACATTCACTGAACAAATCCTACAGAGCATTGATCATGCTTTTGAGTTACTTTGGAAGAAACAAATACCAGCATACTATAAGATTATTGATAACATTAACTCCAGTTCCACATATTTTCAGAAAATCTGCCATCTATTAATTAAAGGAGTAGCCGTTTGTGAAAACAGGAATTCTACATGGAGGGTTGCCATGAATGATAGATTCACCGTAGTGAATAATTTTGGCAATAAACCCAATGTGTGTTTTTTTGGTTTGTTTGATGGGCATCATGGTGCCCCAGCGGCAGACTTGGCGTCAATAGAACTGCCAGTTTTACTTCTGCATCAACTTTCCAGATTTGATCCTTCCTACCAAATGACCCCTCAGGAGGAAAAACTAATCAGTTCTTTTCATACAGTATTTAGGGAAGAATACAGAGCTATAGAAAACTTCTTCACTGAGAAGAAAAGGACAAAAGAGTTGATGTGTGAGTATGAGAACATACACAAAGCCTTTGCAAAAGCATTTTGGAGAATGGATAGGCTTTTACGTCTTGGAAGGAAAGAAGTATCCAGGGTTCGATGGAGTGGCTGCTCTGCGGTTACTTGTATATTGGAAGGCAGCATTAAATATCCCTATGCCAAGAAATGGAGAAAAACCAATGATCATGATGGTTGGGCAGAGAGATTCCCTTCCCAGAAGATGCCACAAATAATTTCTGGAGTACTACATATTGCAAACACTGGTATGTACATTGAATAGTGCCAGGTTACACCGTAACATCGTTTATTCCTGGAAGCAAAGCCCCTATGCTCCCAGAATTATTTCTTGACTTATTGCCGAGAAATTTCATTGACCAATTTAAGAAATAATAACCACAGTTTAAATGCCGATCTCAGGCACAAAAATCATTGTAATTATTTTTCAAGGAGGCACATATGTAAAATAATGTGACCAAAACATTACATTTTCTAAATGGGTAGCAATACAGCTGTTGATAAAGGGTAAAGCAAATATATTGCATTTGTTTAAATCTGAATGAAACAAAAAATATTTTTCACACTTCCTCTTTTCAGATGAATGGAAAGTTCTTTAGAGTGTTATTAGTATAGTTGTTCAGTTGTTCTGTTGGTCAGCTATTCTGATAACTAATACGTTTGCAATAGGTCACTCTTGTGCTCTGGCCAAGTAGCATCAAGTTCATCTTAGAGAAAACAATAGTTCATGCCTTGTTTTTATGCCCATGCATTCTCTTCTCTAAATATTTGACATATTTTAATTTTATTTCAGGAAGCAATTCATTTCACCTTCAGTGCTAAAGCTCTAGCTTAGGAGCTTGCCAAAATTAAAAGCCCAGGGGTAAAACAGTTTTAGCAAAGTTAACATGAGTTCCAGGCTGAGTTCCATGTGATGTTTAATAGGGTTTCACTACCTCTTTCATGAATAGAATTATTATTGATAGTGTCCACTTACTAAATATTGAACACAAAGTAATGTCTCATATAGTCTTCTAAGAACCTGATATCTAACAATATCTAAGTATCGTGTTTTTCTAAAATATATATTTGACATATAACATTAAGATATACATGTTAATTTGATACATTTATATATTATTGTAAGTTTGCCATAGTTGCGATAATTAATACCTCTACTACCATTGCATACTTTTTTTTAGTGGTTGGAATAATTTTTAGTTTCTTCATAAGTTTGATGATAATAATGCAATATTGTCCTCTATATTCCCTAAACTGCATTAGATTTCTGGGACCTGTTTACTATTTTCCCAGATGAGAACATGGCAGCTCGGAGCCATCTCTGCCACTCCCTGCAGCCCAGCCTCCTCAGGCTCTGGAAGCAATCCCCTTCAGAGGCAGCATGAGATAGTGGAATGGTTTCCAGCTTCGATTCACAAAGACCATTACAGTGTCAAGGTCCCTGGAAGTCAGCCTGTTTCCGATCTAGCTCTGGTTGTGAGCCTCAAACGAAAACCCCAGATTAAGCAATACGGAGAACCAAGTGCAATGTTGATTTCCTAGAAGTCTTTGTCATTTTCAAGGTCTACCCTGAGTTTCTAAAGCACATCAGAGTAGGCTTACTTCACTGAACAGTTTTCACATTTCAGATCAATCTGGGAACCAACCCATATTCTTGGACTTGGGACCTCTACTAGAAAATATCATTAGATATTGGGTTCTTGCAAAATTAAAGGAGAAATTAAGAGATAGTCAATGAGGAGATAAAATCATTAAATGTTAGTTTACCAAGAGTCAGTATTTCCAGGCTCACTGCTGTTTGGTTGGTTCTAATCTCAGATCGAACATTCGCTGGCTTATTTCCAGGCTTGCATAATTGTGTTAGACTGTTTTATTTAGGCATCCTTCATTTTAATAGAAACAAAAATATAGAGGGAAAACAAACAGCTTTGAAAGGGAGGACATGGTTTATGCTACAAAAGCATTCTTAAAAGAAAATAACTAAAATGGGCTATAAAAAATAAATGTCCATACAAATTCATCAAGAGCATATTTTATATTTTAAAAAATAATTATAATTACAACAAGGGAATTTATTTTTCTTGTTTGAAATTTGTAAAATACCAGTGCCTTCACAACTCAGGAATTAAAAAAAACAAACAAAAAAACTTCACTTTATAATGAAACATGAGGGCAATGATGAAGCCATCGAATAAATGCTGATTTTATGCATGTAAACAAAGGTATTTCCAAACTGACATTTTTGGTTTTTTGTTCTTAGCACTTTTCATTTATATTGCATTTTATAATTTTTCTTAGTGTTCTTAATTTACTTCAAATAGTCCTCATAGGATTAAAATACTAACAACTATATTTATACAGAATATATAATTATAATTTTTTACTTA